AATTATTTTATTATCTTTGGGTGACATTTTCACTTATAGTGACATTATATACACATACCTACAGGAGGTGTGTGCATGTGAGATGTATTCCCTGGAGCTTTTGATAAAAACCCATTTTTCTATCACTAATTCATTTACAACTAAAGAAAGCAGCATACATGCAAATTTGAGACTCTTTTTGATAATCATTTCCATTTGAATGGGAGAAATTCTTCAGAATTGTTTTTAGGGTATAAATTTCAGTACAGTCTTATTGTGCGCTGAGACTGAACTATGTCTTTGTACAATATGTGATAATTTAAGCATATATTTTAATAGTTATTGACAAAATTTAATGGCATCAAAAATACTCAAGTCTGTCTGGAATTTATTTTCATTGTTTTTTCCCCCACACTCTTCTTTTTTTCTTAAAACCATGAAAGACCCCTGTGCGAACACAGAGCCTTTGTTGTTGCTTCCGTGTCCTTTGGTGCATTGCTGTTCCTTAGTCTAGCAGCATCCTTAGTTTGTAGTATTTTACTTAGTGGCAACTGAAAAAATCACTAGTCTGGGCTTTAACTGGGAAGTTCTGTTATCCTGACGGTTATTGTGAACCTGTCAGGAAGGTGGTAAGCAACCAAAACATCTGTCTCACAGACGGTGCACACAGAGCTCTTCAGACACTAAGCAGGCTTGGTTTTCTCATGTCCCAGATGGTGCACACAGAGCTCTTCAGACACTAAGCAGGCTTGGTTTTCTCATGTCCCAGCTCATAACAGATGAATCAGCACATTAGAAGGAAGTGGGGAGCCTGTTAGAGGCAGGCATATTGATAGTGTGGTAGGGAGACCACCCTGTAAGCAAAACAGATTGCTTAGCAGACACACACACACACACCAGGATTCTGAGGCCAATGATTATATATACCTCAGGGCTGAGGGAATCACTTTATAATAATTGATATTATCTATATGTTATGTAGCCCTTAAAATTTTATGAAGTATTTTACATACATCAGAGCTCATTGGATATTTGTAATAACACATGACTATAACGTTTTCTTTTCATCATGGAAAAATGAATTGTACTGAACATGCTGTTTAAGAAGGCAGGTAGGTATACTAACATATCTGAAAGACTTGCATCAAAAATAATTATGAGTTTAAATTTTTGGCACTTCAGATATATGCATTAATTATCTGAAAATTAATATATATGCTTTCCTTCATGACCAACACAAGGTGTTACTGAATTTTCACAGCTTTCAGTGACTGCTGGTCATTAAATGGGGATGATTGTCATCAGTAAGTTATCAGAATATTTCTCCTGTTAAATACAAGCTTAACAGATATTTATGGATGCCAATATCATATATTCTAATATGGGAAACACTAGGCTTCTAATAGATTCTTAAGAGTGTTTTTCCTATATTGCACTTTTTAGAAAACAAAGCTTTAACAATGATATAATGTGATCTTGGCTCAAGACATAGGAGCATAGGAGCAGGGAACATGTGATTTAGTTTTTCCTTGCTTGTTTTCCTAAAATTTGGTATAACCTCTTCTTGGGGGTGTTAACACGGAGAAATAAAATATACACGTTCTTTGGGCTTCTGAGGAAAAAGACCACACACATTTTCAAAAGATTAAAATAGAAGCCTCTTCTGCATTAGCTACTTCATTTTCACAACTAAAAATAAGGAACTACTGTGTATTTGATGTTCCTAAACTCAATTAACATAGCTTTGCCATAAATATACCGTTCCGTCAAAAGCTCTTTAAAATAGAAGTACAATTTATACTATACTTACCAACAGTTATACTGTATTATCGGTTATACATTTACCAATTATCATGAATAAAAATGACTAAATAAAAGAGCTAAAAGCACAAGATTAGATTTTATACTCAAAGTGAAATGGGACGGTAAAATTTTAACTGTAATTTCCTCCAGTAGTATAGAATTCCTCATGCCCTTTAATTCCTTTATCCCCAGTATTGAGCAGATGACTTTTTAATTATGAGCATACCTCACAGAGGACAAAGATTTTGTTGAATTTACTGGTGGTTAATTTTTAATTCTAATCTATGTGGCTCTGTTTTTATACAAGGCTATTTATCCTCCATTTTTCTTTGTCTTAGAGCTGCTTATCCTGCTGGAGGTTTTTTTAGTTAGGAAGGGACTGTATATATGCCCTGCAATTTATGGTATCCTAATGGAAATTGTCAATCTTGTAATTGTTCTTTTACGTGGTACAGAAGATAAGCCAGCTCGAACTTGCAGAGGATGCTAAACAAGTAAATTAACAGGTTAGTTCACTACCCTTTACAAAATGGTAGAGTAGTAAGCACAGGCTTGGGACTAAACAGACCTGGGTTTGAATCCTAGTGCTGCTAAGCAATGCCAGCTCTGCGATTTAAGACAAATCACTTAAATCTTCCGACCCTCCATCTCTTCAAAAGTCAATTGATGCTCATGCCACCTATCTTACAGTTTTTGTGAGGGTTAGTAGTAAAGTATGTACATTATTTGACACGTGATAGGTATTCTACAGTGGTTAAAGAATCGTGGACTGAAATTTAGAGTCGGGCAACATTTGGGCCCAGCATCTGACACGGAGCTCTCTCCAAAAGAGAGGCAGTATATGGAACCTTCTTTTGATTATCAATACAATCATTGTACTTAGTAGCTTATTTTGAATGTCAACATTAGGTGTTTTTGTCTCTAAAACTTTATTTTCTTTTAAATATGTATTTTTAAAAGTTTATGGCAAACTTGTGTTTTCACCGTGGTAATTTTTTTTTTGATGACTAAAAAACTTTGAATTTTTTAAAATATCCATGATAAAATGATCTAAGTTTTAAAAAAACCTGTCCTAGAGATAACATTGTTCCAAGTGAGATGTAACCTCTAGACACATGTGTGAATGGCTGTCTGATAGGTCCTACAAAGAAATGTCATTTTTATTCATGTATTTGGGTGTTCTAAATGTTTCTATAAGATTTCACTTTCCTTCTTATGGCATCTTGATACTCCCACACTTTCCTTTTCAGTCTACTGGCCAGTTTAAGGGTATTCACAATAATACAACTTAAAGACAGAATAAAAGTGTTCATAAGTCATTGTTTTAACAGCCAGCATAATACAGTAGAAATTGCCCTGAGCAAGGAATTAAGAGACTTGAATTCAAGTCCTGGCTCTGCCACTAATTTTGCAGGATGACTTTAGGCAAGTCACTTAACTTCTCTTATTCATCAAATAATGAGATTGAGTCCATTTTGTTACTTTCTACTGGTAAAATTACTTTCATTTACTTATTTTTTTTTAAATAATCAAAACATCTTCTGGGATTGGGTTAAGCACCTGATGGGTACAGAAGTATTTACTGATGTTTAAGGTAGTATGTTCCAAGCTGTGATCCAGGGACCACCTGAGTAAAGATTACTTGGGGTTCTTGTTAAAAATACAGGAACCTGTCCTCTCCCTGGCTGAATCAGAATCTCCTAAGGTGAGGGCCAAGTTTCTGTATTTTTCACAAGCTCTTCAATAGTTATAATGCACCCTAATGTTTGAGAACCACTGGCCGAAGAGAATGTGATCTAAGAGGGAAAGAGCTAGCCTGTGGCTCGAATTACTTCAGCTTCTGGCAAATCCCTTCTAAAGGACTCTACCATTCAAAGTAAGAAAGCTGCTGACTTCAGAGCAGTCAGCCTTGTGCTTGGCCCCTGCATAAGGCTTTTTACATGCTGTGTTCCATAACAAAACACAACAGAAGGGCTTAGTCTTGACATCCAAGTCACTGACCACCACAGTTATGACAGCAGCCTGAAGACAGCTGCAGTTCTCCTGTCATTAATGGTATGAGAGTTGAGCTGAAGGAAGAAAGATGAGAAAAACACAGCCTCTTTACTCTTGATTCTCCCTCCACCCATCATCCTGTGTGCTTCAAATAATCTGGCAGAGAAAACAGAAAATGTAAGCCATACTGCTCTCATCACTCTGTGGCCAGAGAGTGTACTAATCTAATAAATAAATCCTCTTCCATACAATAGAAATGACCAAAGCCCATTCCGTCTCCTCTTTTCCTTTCTAATGCTGTTGACAGGAACAAAATATCAAGTAAGGACACATGCTAGGAATTTTTAAATTCATACAAGTAAA